CCTTCTTTTTTTCATGTACTCCTCCTTCCTTCTACCCACCCTTCCTTCTTGCCTTTCTTCCTCCCGTCCTTCCATATACAATTCCTTCTTTCAGTCCTTCCACCCTTCCTTCCTTCCTTCCTTCCTTCCTTCCTTCCTTCCATCCTTCCATCCATCCATCCATCAGTCTATTCATCCTTTCATCCACATTTTCTTCTTCCTTTTTTCTACTCATCCATTAACCATCCTTCCTGCCTCCCTTCTTTTCATTCATCCTTCCATCCATCCATTCATCTATCTGCTACCCTTACTTTCATACTCCTTTCAATCCTTCCTTCCTTCCTTCCATCCATTCATCCATTATCCATCCTTCCTATCACCCTACCTTCCTCCCTCCCTTCCATCTTTCCATCCTTCCATCCATCATTCTATCCATTCTTCCATCTTTCTTCCATTCACTCTTCCTTCTTTCCATTCTTCCATCCACCTACCCTTCCTTCCACCTACCCTTCCATCCATCCTTCCACCCACCCTTCTTCTGTACGGCCATAGCCCAAACCCCACATTGAACCGGGAGCTCTTTAGCTTCCACCAAACGTGCCCCTACCCCTAACACTCCAAACCATCCCTTCCATTTCTTATTCACCTTCTCTAAACAGACCACTCAGATCTCCAGTGAGAACACAAACCCCACACTCAATTCTATCCCTAGTCCCATAATAATTTCGGTCCCATCTCCAACTCAGACCTTGCTCTAAACGTCCACAGTGCCCTTACTCAAGCGATTGATAAATCTGTCCACCCAGGCAGCTGGCCAGGAACCCATCTGTCAAACCAGTTTTCCACCCAACAGTCTATTATTCTACAGTGTTTTCATTCAACGTCCATCCCACCAGACAGTTAGCAATCCAATAATTTATGCAGTTATTTAATATCCAAAATCCATCTCTTCTTTTTTTCATGTACCTCTCCTTCCTTCTACCCACCCTTCCTTCCTTCCTTCCATCCTTCCATCTTTCCACCCTTCCTTCCATCCACCCTTTTTTCCACCTACCCTTCCATTCACCCTTCCTCTCTTCCCATCCACCCTTCTTTTCTTCCTTCCATCAATCTATTCATCCTTCCATCCACATTTTCTTTTTCCTTTTTTCTACTCATCCATTACCCATCCTTCCTGCCTCCCTTTTCATTCATCCTTACATCCATCCATTCATCTATCCTCTACCCTTCCTTCCTTTCCTACTCCTCCTTTCAATCCATCCTTCCTTCCATCCATTCATTCATCCATTATCCATCCTTCCTATCTCCCTCCCTCCCTTCCTTCCATCCATCCATCTATCCATTCTTCCATCTTTCTTCCTTCTATTCATCCTTCCTTCCATCTACCCTTCCATCCATCCTTCCACCCACCCTTCCATTTTCTTCTTCCTTTCTTCTCTTCAATTACCCATCCTTCCAGCCTTCCTTCTTTCCATCCATCCATCCATCCATCACCCACCCTTCCTCTCCTCCCATCCACCCTTTCTTCTTTCCTTCCTTCCACATTTTCTTCTTTCCTTCCTTTCTTCTACTCATCAATTACCCATTCTTCCTGCCTTCCTTCTTTCCATCCATCCATCCATCCAT